TCCCTTTGTGCTAATTGAGCTTGGTAATTTCCACCCCAAGGGTTCCCCCACAGCCCTACCTAATATAACGCCCTCATATAGGGAAAAATAATAAAAATAGTGAAGGGGTGTGAGGTAAATATCCCAAACTTGCATATGTAATATAAATACCCTTAACTTTATATAAAAAAGTTATTTTCGTACCATTGTCATGTATTATTACTTTGATAAATGAGCTCTCGAACTAACCGAAAAAGTGCAAATCACCCTTTTTATAGGAGGCAATGTCCAGCCATCGTCATTTGTGGAGGTTTCCGGTGGAATTTTTTGATGAATTTGTTTGAGCATCTTCTTCATTAAGTCTAGTTTACTCATACCAAATTTCAGCTAAACATTGAACTGGGAAGGCAGTCAAATGATTTTCTGAAATATACTGCGTTGTTTAACTACATAGTTATCTTCAAGGGAAATTATCACTCACCTCCCTTGAGGTTTCATACATTTTCATTTAGACCCCTGCACTATTAAAAATATAACCTTACCCCCCTCTCTATCCTTTAATGGGAGTTTAATAACTCATAATCATGTTTAACAAAATTATAGATTGAATCATATTTACTCACTTGCAGATTTGATACGGTAACACATAAATTTATCCGCATTACAGATTCTTTCACCAGAAAGTACACTTTGTGACAAAAAAGGTACTCTATGTTTTTGTCAAAAGGTGTGCTTTCCGATGAAACAATCCTTAAATAGACATATTTATTAGTTATAGATATAGAACTACATCTATATGAGAGTAAATTTATAGGACTAATAGCGGACACGATAAAAAATACGAGCATGAAACAATAAATCTCTATTATTTTTAAAAGTTCAAAAATATTTATTAAATTATAGAAATATTGGTGAAATATACATCTCACGTTAGAGATTTTTTTCTCACGTGAAAAAAAGATTATTAGCTTCAGTGGTTTTCTTAAAAGTTTCCACTAATATATTTTAGATATAATAAAAATAATTTTTATGTTTGAATGAACTAGCGTTATTTGGAATTACAGTTTAGTTAAATTTTTGAAATATTATTTATACCTAAAACGGATGTTGGTGAATGATCTTTAGAACAAGGTGATATCTTTTAAGTAAGTATTTAATTTCCCATAAACATCTTTTTTTTTGTCCCGGAGCAAACCACTCACAGTGGAGGAAGTGCCAGGGAACACTTCCTTAATTTATTAAAAAGAAAGAGAATCAAAATAACAAGGGAAAGCTCTAAAAAGAATATACAAAAGATATAGGAAAAGCCCTAGCAATTAAAATTTTTAGAAGGTATCCCAACCGAAGTTGAGATGGTCCTATTATATTTATTATGAAACTTTATCGCTTTTTGGAGATAAGGTTGGTAGACAGTTGCCTCCGGGTGAGAAGACTTGAAGCGTTTGAGAGCTTGGGCGAGTTTGTGTGGTGAGTCGAATCTCGCGTCTACCGGGTAAAGGAAATAATCAGATTCATTTTGAGGTTTTCAGGATTCACTTCTTGTAATCATGGGGTGTGAAGTCCAACCAACTTCATAGTATAATTGTTGGTCTTCTTGATTGTCAATTGGGAACTTGGATGAACTCTTCTTTAAGTTTCTTCTTGCCTTAACCTGCGTGAACCCATCCGGGCATTCCTCCGCCTCAAGGTGATTATCTGTTGGACCTGCATTCGATGGATCAGAAGAGAGTTCCTCATTTCCAGATTCCAAGGTTTGACCTAAGGAGTCAAAAGTGTTAACCAAATGGACCTCATATCGATTTTTAGCCTCAGAAGCGTCAATGGCAGCTTCTGGGACACCTTCTGGGACCTCATAAATTTGATTGTTGCCAGATCATATATATATATATATATATATATATATATATATATATATATATATATATATATATATATATATATATATATATATATATATATATATATATATATATATATATGCAAGTGAATAAGTTTACATGATTAAATTTATAATTTTGCTAAACATGATTATGAGCTATTTAAACTGTCATAAAGGATAGGGAGGGGGTAAAAGTATATTTTTAATAGTACAGGGGTCTAGGTGATAATACGTGAAACCTCATGGGAGGTGGGTGATAATTTGCCTATCTTAAAATAATTATTTGACTGTCTTCCTGATTGCATTTTTAGCTGAAATTTGGTATGGGTAAACTAGACTTAATGAAGAAGATGCTCAAAAAACATTCATCAAAAAATTCCACCGGTAACTACCCCAAATGGCGATGGCCGGATGAAGCCTCCTATAAAAGGGGTGATTTGCACTTTTTCGGTTAGTTCGAGGGCTTATTTGCCCATATTCCCAATGTAAATTTATGGGGTTTATTGCATAATTTAAAATAGCAAATTAAAAGTGTTGCAATTATATAGATTGGGGGTAACATTATTTATTTCTACATAGAAGTTTAGAATGTTAATTGTGTCTTCAAGAATTCTAAAATATTTTAAATTATGCAGTTAACATCATAAATTTTCATTTTTGAAATAAATAATACTTGACTATGGTGCTAAAGTAACTTTTTATATAAAGTTTGGGGTGTTCATCTCACACCCCTTCAAAGTTTGGGATATTTTAATTATTCCCCCCTCATATACTCCCTTATGTTCTCCAATAATGTCCTTATAGCCTTTGTGGCACAAGGTTTAAGAAAAAAAGAATGACACCCCAATCCTTGAGGGAGCCCCAACCCCGACCGGGCGATACGTTGGGAGGATGTAAGTTGGACTATAATCTCAATCTGACAGATACAGAGTGAGGCTCTATCCTCGGTACTTAGAGAGACCATATGCATTTTTTAGCATAGTAACATCTCATCGCAGTTGCCGGGATTTGAACTCGGGACTTAACCCTTGTGGCACTCCCTCGCTACCAGTTGTCAGTTGAGCTACGCCCATCAGTGCACAAGGTTTAAGAACTTGTGTTTAAATAAAAAAGTAGGAAAAAGAATGAAAAGTAGGAAAGAGAAAAAGGGTGTATAGGTATATTTATTGAAAAAACTTCCAAAAAATAGAAAGTAAGACAACTATTAAAGAACATCCCAAAATGGAAAGAAACAAATATTGAAGACGGAGGGAGTATTATTTTTTGCGTGAGTTGCAACTTATTTGAAATAAAAACCTCAAATTTGGAGTTTTTACCGTTTTCATTAAGAACAACCTTAAGGAGGTATTAGTTTCCACCATCTACGTAATGAAATACGTCAAAAAAATCCATCTTGGTAAAATAAAGGGCAAAATGGTAAAGACAACTTTTATTTCTACGCTTTTGTTTATTTGTGCCAGTCAAATTTACAGTTCAATTCGGGATAAAGGGAGATATATTATACATTATGAAGAAAGATTTATCTCGAGTATTAAATAAAATGAGATTATGAGTTCGTTTGATAACATTGAAATTGTTGAAATTGTGATTGAATTGATTGATTATACTTAAGATATACTCTCTTCATCCCGAAATAATTGTTTTATTTTCCTTTTTGGGATGTTCCAAAATAATTATCGAGTTATCTCTTGTGATAATAATATGTGGTTCATATCAATTAACCATTTTTTACACAAATCTGAAAAACAATTTTTGCATTTTCAATCATTTTCTTAAAACTTGTGATAAAACAAACAAAAACAATTTTTTCGAGACAGAAGGAGTAATTTATTAATATAGAATTACTACCTCCGCCCTCCTATTATTGTCTCATTGCGGTTTACGATGTTTGACCGATGATAAAGCAAATGGATCCCTGTCCGCACTCAAATTACTTTTTAAAAATAAATTCACGTATTCAGAAACTACACTAAAAACTTTACTATGTCACAAAAACTAGAATCAAAATTGATAAAATTTGATATATAAAATACTCGTAAGAAATTAAGATTGATTTTTGTTGACTAAGTGAATAGAAACTACTACAATAATAGAGGGACGGAGGAGTAAATTAGAAGAACCGGACTGACCAGACGGGTTGACCAAGAAACTGGCATAGCAATCCCGTTGTTCAACCCGGTCCACTTACTACCATCCCGTAATTCTAGTAAAAACTAGAATTAACCGATAGCCTGATAAGACTCGGATCCGGCGTAGTCCGATTAACAATCGACAAACGCTGAAATTGTTTGAAAAAAGGAGATTTCCCAAAAATAGGAGTAAATGGAGTTTGAAATTCCAAAATATGACTACTATATTTTTATTCCCGAAATGAGATTAACATGACATTATTTACTGTCATCTTGTAAGCATGACTGTCAAATAGTTGCAGTACAGTGCATTTAACATGACAATATTTATTATAATTAATGACAGTATTTTTCAATCATGACAGTATTTTTCATATATGACAGTAACAACTCTTATTTCGTGAATAAAAACATATTAATCCTATTTTAGAATTCCAAATCTCATTTGCTCCTATTTTTGGCAATTTTCCTTTGAAAAATCAAGCTAAAGTGGAATTCCTTCAACGTAACATATCAACTCAACGTAACATACTACGTATAATCTAACGGACCACTCCACCAAATTATCTTGTATTGTCTTCATTTTGATTATACCATGTATACCTTCTTTTTGCAACATTGTTAAGTAAAAATGTACCCTGATAAATGTATATACCTACAACATTGCAGGCATGACTGAAAAAATCTTATTCAATTAATTAAGATTTTATTTTGTAATAGTATAGTATGTTCATATTTACCTTTTTATGTGATAATTTGAATATCTATTATAGAAAATGAAAAACTATTTTTGTAAACTTATATAAACATCAAATAACACTAAAGATTAAAAAAGGATTAAAATTATATTTAGAATCATATCTATGTGTTCAAAATGTTTACTGAGTACTCAATTTTTTATTACTGTGAAGAATAAAAAACTTTATTTTAATTTTTTACTAGTATATTAGTACGTATTGTATATTTATATATTTATATAAACGTTGACCAAAACTTCCTGACTTTGACCGTGTTACCCCGTGACCTGGTTGTTCAGCCGGGTTGCTTTCCGGTACGGTTCTTGTAACATAGAAAATAACTAGAATGATCAATACAATAACTTCAGCCAATTCGGTCACAAAAATAACCCTAATCTTACTTATTTTGATTATAACACAATTCAACGTTTGAAATCAAAAATATCGTGTTTGATGAAAAAGTTGTCTGATAAGGCTAATCAGCCAAATAGGTTCTATAGTAACACTGAAATTGACTTAATCATCTTATTTGGTGATATTTATGAAGTTCTAGGGTAAGTGATTGAATAAGCTAATTATGCTGAATTACAAAAAAAAATCAAAATATATATTATTGATAAAATAAAGAAAAAGTTGTATTAAATTAACTAAAATGATCTTTTATAGTAAATTCAGCCAGAAGATCAATTTGAATTTGATTTATTTTGATTATTGTATAATTTGATGCGCAAAATAAAAAATTACTCCCCCTTTCCCAAAATATAATTCACACCTTCCTTTTTGGACCATCCCAAAAAACACTTCTAATTTTCTTTTTTGGAAAGTTTTGCGTGACACACATTCACTTACATTTTTCTTACTCAACCACAATCATACATTTCCACTTTATTCTCACTTTCTTAATAAGTGTGCCAAGTCAATCCGAAAAGTATTTTTTTGGAAAGAAAGTAGTATGTATTTAATACTACATAGAAAATTTGATTGATAAAATTAACAAACTATAGGTACTCCAAAATGGGGTACCCCATTTTTAGCCCATCCTACTATGTGGCTCAAATGGGGCAACTCATCTAAGTGAAAAAACTTATGACCTCATTTGAACCGCACAACTCCAAAATTAATAAGAAGAAAAGTAGGGTAACTAATGGAGTATAAAATATAATAAATCACAACTGTATTTGACATAAATTATCCGGACTACTGCTGTATTGAGCTGGGTTCATAGCTCGAAATACTAGTGGAGTATAAATCACAACTGTATTTGACTTAAATTATAATTATCTCAAATAATAATAATGGAAAGGTGTGCGACGTGGGCGTTACTTTACTTCTTATTAGGTGCCAGCCTAGACTTGATTTTCTCCACCTCTTTCGTCCCAACATGGAACGCCTTAGTCAACACTTCATCGGGGACGGTGGGCGACGCCGCGAACAAGGCGGCGGCAATCGACTGAGTTCCCGGAAGCTGGCTGTTGAAGGCGGCGATCACAGCGGCGGGGGCTTTGCCGTTATTCCTCTGGAAATGGACTAAGCCCCTGGGAAAGACGAAGACCTCTCCCTTGGTAATGTGCTTGGAGACCAAGACGTTGGCGGTGGTGACGAAGCCGACGTCGAGCTCCCCGTTGAGAACGAAGATGATCTCGGTGGCGCGTGGGTGGGTGTGAGGAGGGTTGACGCCGTGGGGAGCGTAATCAATACGGGACATGGAAACGCCGAGGGTGTTCAGCCCAGGGACTCTTTCCACATTCGCCGCCGTCACTACTGAGCCCATCGTATTGTTGGTCGCTCCGCGTTTCGCGATCGCCTTTGACGAGAAGTCCGCCGCCGTGAATTCCTTCTTGCACGCGAATCCGTTCACCTTCACACCTATATATAGAGAGAAAATTACCCTCGCACATTCAGTTCAAATTGAATCATTTAATTTTGCAATTCCATTCAAAATCATGTGATCCACTAGCTATAAGCTGTATACTTCCTCCGTCCCGAAATGGTTCGACGAAATGATCAACTGATTGAGAAAGTCCCGAAAATGGTTCACTAAATTGACAACATTTAGCAAGAAAAGTTATTACGTGGGAAGTAATATAAAATATTGAGAAATGAGGCATATGTATACTTGAGTTGAGATCAGCAACGCAGACATCTTGAAGCAAATCTGGATCGGTGGCGGAAACTGTGCGGGCAATCATAATCAGACCCAAACCCATCATTATTATTGCGATGATCTTTCCAGATGGAGCCATAGCTTTCTTCTTGAGCGCAGATACGCACCCTGCCACAGAAAGCTGAACAATATACCAAAGAGAAAACGATCGATCAAATTAAAGCAGATGAACGAATTGAAGGGGAAGAAGAATCTCAATGTATGTATACACCTTTAATTGATTTTGAATTTAAAAAAAAAGGGTTGGATGGTGGGTTTATTATAGCGGTGCGGCAGTTGAAAGCTCTAAGCTGATGGTCAGACATGATAAGGTTAGAAAAGTATACTCCTCAAACTGGTCTAATTTCTTATCTTACACCTCAAGCAAATCCTCTCCAATGAGCCTTCCAATGAGCCTTCCAATCTCAAACGTTAGGTAATAGGGAAAATTCCAGAAATATGACTAAAACAGTTTGAAAATTCCAAAATAGAATTGTCATGTTTGAAGTCTGGTACTGCCAAAACATGACAGTAATTAGTCCTATTTTGAGAATTTAAACACATGATAGTCCTATTTTGAAATTTTCAAACTGTTTTAGTCCTATTTCGGATAATATTCTATAACTAATAGAGAAAATTGTCCATAATAAGACCCTTTCATTGACTTTTGATTAAAATAAGACCCAATTAGATTAATTACTTTCGTAAGCCTAAATCGGTCCTTTTTTAAGAAACTTAATATCTAGTTGCCTAAAATACCCCTTAGTTCATATCCTTTTAGCTCTTTCCTTCGCCCTTGGCTTTCTGGACATAGGGCTTGCTGCTCTTCTTCTTCTTGTTCTCGTCGTCTTCACTGCTCGGCTTCGAAATCGAAGCTTCTGGCTTCGAGTTCTCCAGCGCCTTTTTCCTGCAAATCAACGACATCTCCGCTTTACTCCGTCCGATGGAGCAGTGGCGGGATAAGGCGACGACAGATGTGTTGTGTGTTTTTAAAAGGCTCCTTCCTCAAGCTTCCTCTGGACTTCTACCGTCTACGTTTCTTCACAAATATTTCTGCTGCGAATTTCTGCTGCTAAATATCATTCCTGGTGCGAATTTCTTCTGTAAGTTTCTATGATATTTCGAATTTTCATTCTGATTATATATTGAACTTGGAGATTGATTTTACGTGACTTGCTCTGTTATTGAGTTATTATCAGGACTTATTGTCTATTTAATTATTACTTACTGTCTATGTATTGTCTGCTATTGAACTATTATTAGAACTTATTGTCTGTTTACTGATTATTTAATGTCTATGTATTGTCTAGTGTTTGCAAATTTGATTTTGGATCTGGTTTATTCAAAAGTTTTACAGTGTACCTGATGGCCTTGTGAAAATATGAAATAGAAGTTCGAAATTGTCCAAAATCAATGTCCAGAAACAGAAAAGGAAGAAGAAGAAGAAGTCAATATGGTTCCACTGTTATCTGATTAAGAATTGTTCAAGCTGCCTGGTTGTATGCTACTCCGTATCTAATTAAGGGTATTAGAGTCAATATGGTTCCACTTTTATCCTACGCGAACTACTAATCTTATTTTTGGAATTTGGGGGACTTTTGGTCTTATTTGTAAAATTTTCCCTGACTAATATTCATTTTCTCAACATTTTTTATGTAATATTCGAATGTAGAAAAGTTGTCTCATTTTCTACACTTTTTCTACATTTTTTGCAATTTCAGTTATGAGCCCATTTGGCAACTCTTTTTTTTCGGCTTAACAATCACCTTTTTTATCAAACACGTAACTTATGATTTCACGCGCTGAATTGTCTAATAATAAGAAAAAATAAGGTTAGAGTTACTTTTCTGGATGAATTGGCTGAAATTATTGTAGAAGATCGTTTTAACTTTTTTTTCACATAACTTTATTTTATTTTATAATAAAAAATATTTTAAATATAATTTTTTCATAAATTAGCAGAATCAGCCAATACAACCACTTCAGTCAAAACTTCATAAATTTCAGCAAAATCAGTCAATTCAGCCAATTCCAGTGTTACCAAACGGGCTCTATATCATTTAAAATTATACTACGTACTACATAATATTAATACCTTTTCATAAAAAATAGGCAAAACCTCCATAACCTACACCCCAATTCATTAAAATTAAACAATAAACTATATCATATAATTGTTAAAATATAATAATATAAATAAATAAATTAGAAAGAAATTAAAAATACTAAAAATGGAAAAAATAGAAAATTTAGTTCTTTAGAATTAAGATAGCATAAAAATCTAAATAAATATATTTTCGTGAAAAAGCTATAATAAGGCTTTTAATCGTAAATTTTTTAATCATAGTTTTCTTTTTGATAACAGATCATGCAAATTTTAATGCTATTGGGGAAAAAGCAAAAATGAAATTAAATGGGAATCCCGTACTCTCAAACGGGCGCAGGTTCTAGCCATAATCGGCGTTGGTTGCATGTTTCGCAACCGGTGAATGCCTCTTTGACCAACCATTTCAAGTTCAATTTTTATGAAACTTAATCACAACATGTTTTAAGTCATAAACAATCATTTTATTTCATTTTGGTGATTCAAAACATCACATATATTTTTATATGCATTTTAAATCCTTTAGATATATATATTTCAATAGTTTAATTCATATATAAGCCTAATCATCTTGGCTAATCACATGTTTAAACTCTTTTAAACATCATTATGAACACATATAACATTGACTTAGGTAATCATATACTTAGGTCAATAGTTATTAGATATTAAGTCGTCAATTCACCTCAAATGAGCTTTAAGAAATTCTACCCTCCCCGGTTGAACTCCGGCGAACTTTGATGAACTCCGGCAATACCTCCGACGACTATCTCAACTTCTGAGAGCATTAAGAACGCCTTAGACAAGTTCGATCCTAAGAAGGTTTCATTATCGCAAAACTCATATCAACACAAATAACCTCTAAAAGGTCACTTTCCGGCAAACCGGTCGCCTTGGCTTCTATGCCCGTTCATGGACTTAGAACTACCTTCCAACCCTTATTATACACTTTTAAACATGTAAAACAATCCTATGAGTACTTCATATGGCTTATTAAACCATATGAGATTCATGAGTGAAAAGAAAATGTTAATGGGATCGTTGCCTTTATTTCCTAGGTTTTTATCTTCTTTTCTCACTCATTCTTGTTCCTTGGACCTTCTCCTAGGTTGAGCTTGCTTCTAACAATGGAGGATGTGGTGTGCACTCTATTTCCTCTTCTTTGAGATGGTTTTTCGGAAATGATGGTAGAGGAGAGGGTAGAAATAACCCTTTTGTCTTACTAATGCAATGAGTGTGGATGAGAGGTCCACCTCATGTCTCACCCTTAATAGAATTATTATTAGATCAGTATTGTACTTTACATAGAACTCTAATTTTAATATAAATATATCTGCCAGGGCTCCTTAGAGAGCATCATGTTCCATTATTCTCACATGGTATCAAGAGCACAGTAAATATTATTGATAGAGTATATCTCTAGAGAGAAGTGAGAGCTAGAGAGAGAAGTAGTATATTTGCTTGATATTAATGAATTCTGAACCCCTACAACTACTCCCAAGGGGAGTATTTATAGAGAAAATATGGGCTGGGCTCCCAAGCCTTGGGCTTGGGAGGCCCATTTACAACTGGACCGCTACTGGGCCGAATACAAAGCCACTAATGGGCTGTACAAATGAATAAGTATAAAATCCGGTTCTGGGAGGTCCTCGTGGCCGACGAGGGCGTGGCCGACGAGGGCACGGCCGACGAGGGCACCCGAGTTCCTTGGGCTCAGGACCATAATCTGAGTTGGCCCCTTTTCGGCCGACGGGGGCGTCTTGGCCGACGAGGGCGCCACTCTGTGTCTTGTGCTTTCTGTTCTTCCGAGTATGTGGGTCCAGGGGCTCAGACCCATATACTCCATCAGGAGTCCCCCACTCTCTAAGCTGAGACGTAGGCGAAGTGAAGGAGAGTAGATTCCCGTGGTCACTATCTCCGACGAGAAAACTCATTTGCTTTCTGAGTTTTGTCGAAGTGCTGCCCGGATTTCTAGAGAGATAAACTCTGAAGCTTGTTCTTCGTGTTCTTCGTTTGTTCAAGGTTAGTGTTCATCGAAATCCTCTCTGTACTTTGCATGTTTTGCTTCCTAGGCTAGTGATCTAGTGTTAGGCCCTTGAGTATCCTTAGATCTTGAAGTAGGCTGCAGTATATTCGAGATAGTGTTTAAGATGAAAAACCTCAACGAAGAGTACTATCCTTATGACGACGAGCCCTCTGCCCAGTCCCTTGATTATGACCTTCTCGAGGAGTTCTGTGAGGAGATTGAGAATCTGAGCTCGTTCCGTACCGGGGAGCCGGCCGAAGAGGACCATGCGGACGAGGGGTCTGCGTCATCGTCTGGGGGTGAGGACGCGGGGGTCTCTCGAACTGCTGATGGGGCATCCACGTCGGCTGCCATCCCCTGCCCTAAACCTGTGTCTGCTGTGAAGGGCGTTGCACCGCCGAGGAGGGTTAGGAGGCCGAAGAGAGGGCCAGCCTTTTCTCACCTTGATTTGACGAACGTCTATGTCATCAGGCCGCAGAGTAATGCGGGGGAATACTTGGTCGCCCAAATGTATGTGGGGGCGTACGGCAGGGTTAGGGCCCCCAGGCCGACGGACCATGTCCTCAATCCCCCCCGGGCTACTTCGGAGTGTACCCGATGAGCTTTGCTAAAGGGCTTAGGTTTCCGCTTCATCCTTTTATCACTGAGTACCTGGATATGGTGGGGCTCCCTCCGGCCTTGTTGACGCCGAATAGCTACTCCCTCATCGTCGGCTTCATCCTGCGGTGTGCTGAATTGGACTTCAGGCCGACGACGGCGCTGTTTATGAACTTATATCAGATAGGCCGTGGGAGTCATCAGAACTGTGCGTCGTATGCCACCCTTCAACAACTTCCCAAGAAGAGGAGTTTCATAGACCTGCCGACGTCCATCCATGGGTGGAAAGGGAAGTTTGTGTTCGTGTCTCTGGGCGAGGGGGGCACAGAGTTTCCCTCCGTCGGCCACACAGGCCGTTTTAATCTTCATGATGCGCCGAGGAGCTCCATCCTGGATGCTCAAGTTGAGGCCTTCCTGGAGGGGGGGCCGAGGAGTGTGAAGACATATATTACCGAGTACAAGATGGCCGCCCTCGGCTTTGTACGGTATTTTGTGTATGGTGATCTCGACGAAGATGTGGAGTTGTGGCCGAAGATGACCACGTCCTACGAGGAGGTTGATGGTCCCGATCTGGGGGTGCCAGCTGAGGCCGATGGTAAGTCCCTTCTGACGTGCTTCCTTGTCGTACTTTCGTATTTTTCTTTCTAACCCTTAGTGTTTTTTTTGTGATGCAGGTTTTGTGATGGACCGCATGTCGTTCATGAAGAGGGCCCAACTCAAAGCGGCCGAGGAGCTGAAGGCCCAACAACCTGGGGCTACTGCTGCGGCCAAGCCGCCGGTGCAGCCGAAGAAGAAGAGGCAGGCCGAAGAGGGCCAGGAGAAGTTGACGGAGGTGGGAATGAAGCCTCCCAAGAAGTCAAAGAGGGCTTCTTCTACCGGCGATGATGGGACGTCGGTTGTTCCTTCTGGGGATGGGGAGGGTTCAAATCCTGATGCTATGGTGGACCACCCTTCAGGCCCGTCGTCCACCACTATTTCCACTATTCCTGCTCCCTCAACGGCCGCCCGGAAGAAAGGGTCCGGCCGAGAGCTGGTCAGAGGGACCTATAAGCTCGAGGTAGAGTACCCCGTCAAAGGGGGGCTGTTCAATGAAATCGTTGACGGCCACGAGGTGATTTCTCAGGCCATCCCTGATGAAGACCGGGCTTATCTGAAGAAGCTCGGCCACGTGAAGATGTACGATGGTGGGATGGACCACGTCGTCCAAGTAAGTAACCGTGCACGCTTCGTCTTACTTTCTTCGCCATTTTTTGTTGCAAAGTTGTCTAACTTATTTTTACTGCAGGGTGCCTTCATGTTGATGGAGAACAACAGGAGGCAACAAAAAGAGATTGCCCGTCTGAGGCAATTTGAGCAGAAGGTTGCCTCAGCCGATGAGGCGCTAGGCAGCTTAGAGAGGCTGCGTCTTGAGGTTGAGGGCCTTAAGAAGAGGGCCGACGAGGCCGACCAGTTGGCCGCTGAGAAGGAGGGGGCTCTCCAGCGCTTGGCCGACGTGGAGCGTGCCCGCGATGAGGCCCTTCAGCGCGCCGAGGAGGCCGAGAAGGGCAAGGCTAGTGCAGAGTTGGCTCTCGTCGCTGCCGAGGAGAAAGCCGCTGATGCCGCTGTGCAGAAGTTTATTGAAGTCGGTTGGAAGGACGAGGGCCGACTTCCATTCTGTTTTGAGGTCGTGACGGCCAGACTCGTTGACTGGGTGAACCAATCCCCCGACGGCCAGGCCTATTGGGAGAAGGAGATGAAGGTCTTTTATGACCTTGGCCAATACCGGATGCAACGGTTGTTGTACAGGAGGCAGCAACGGCGTTTCATGGATATCGGTGTGTCCAAAGAGTGGGCCGTCGGTCTCGAGTTGCCTCCTTTGATGAAGCATCCTGAGGCAGAGTTGGAGCTTCCGGTGGCCGAGCGGCAGCTCCCTATTGAGAGCTCACGCATCAGCGATGACTGGGCGTATGAGCGGAGCATGTTCGAAGATACTGCCACGTCGGCTGCCCCTGCCGGTACATCTGTTGTCTCGGCCGAGGGGGGTCCTGAGGCCGAGAAAGACTCTGAAGCCCCTCCAGAGGTCTGATCCTTTGTAGTTTTATCTTTCTTTGTGCTATGTAACGGCCTAGAAGCCCTCCTTGTACTCAATTTATATTGAATGGAAATGTTTTCGTAGTACTTGCTGTCTGCGTCGTCGTCTCGTTTACTGTTATGTCTAAGTACTTTCGAGTTTAGGACTTAGGAAAATCTACCAAGTATCGGAACCTCGAGTGGGTGGGTGTTCTCATCGTCTTGATGTGACACCCCCTTTGCACTGTTAATCATGTGTTCTAAGAAATTTCCTAAGTGTTGAACCGATGTTGACGTTGTCAGCCCAGTGTCCTTTGTGGCCGTTGTGTCCCCTTGTTTTTGATCTGATCAGGGTGGTCAGCTTGGGTCCATGTGTTGTGGCCGGTACGGGCGCACAGGTTGCTGTCTTTCTGGCCAGGTGGCTTGATCGGCCTGGCTGTCGTTTCTCAACTATTATAACACTTAGGATTTTTTCAAAAATTTCCTAAGTGTTTTGGATCCACTTAGGTGCTCTCCTTTCGGCCTTGACCGCGGTGTCCGCTCCGTCCTGGCGTTGTCCCGTTCTTCTTTTTTGTTAGAATTTTTCTTAAGCGTCTAACTTCAAGTGGAAAGGTGTTCCCATCGTCCTGGCGGTGGATTTCTCATTGTTGACAAATGCTTTGGGAGATTTCCCAAGTGTTTGAACCAGTGTCGTTGTCTGCCTGCATCCTTTTGTTGTGGCCGATAAGGGCACCTTCACCTTGATCTTTTGAACTTAGAGTTCTCCAAGTACACATGCATAGGTGTAAGTAGCTGACGGCCTTGGAGTATACTGGTACCCGCTTCGTCCTGGTCATCCTCAGGATTTTGATTCTTTGTTTCATACCAAGCGGTGGTGCCTCAAAGGACTATGGCCGATGAAGGTCACCTCTCGCGTGTCACCCAACCGATACGGTTAGGGTTTTATAGGCGTTTGCTTCGGCCTTGATTATTCCCTTGTAGTGTGTGGACGTGTCGTCCATGTTACCTGTCAGTGGTACTACACTTGTGTTCAACTGATATGTACTTGGCCTAGTTGGGCCTGAGTTGTGGGGATTTTATTGTTTCATTGCTCGAGGCCGGCTAATGTGTGCGGCCGTCGGCTTCCCTCTTTTTCCCTTATATATATATATATATATATATATATATATATATATATATATATATATATATATATATATTCGTTTCGGGGGGTATCCTTCTTTCAGGCTTCGACCGAAGGGTGTGCTCGTCCTTCAGCCGGTTCGGACTTCGTTTATAACGTCCGTGATCTCAGGGCAGGTCCCGTCGCCTATTTATGACGCGGGCTAGACTTTTGGTCGGTTTCCAACGGCTGTCGTTGCCCATCCCTGAGTTTTGGGATTTTGTCACCTCGGCCATGATTTCAGGCCTGTCGTCCTGCGATCTGGCGCGTGGACGACGCGGTGAGCTTCCCGTTTCAAGACGTGGGCCGTTTGCGGGCCCCTCATCCTGGGGACATCGTCGGCCATACTTGGGCGTTTCACTTCTAGGCTTACGGGGCCAGGACGATGTGCTCTCTCAGCTAGGCTTGAGCCCTTCGTTGATACAAAATACAATGGAGTGCCTGAGCTTGTCGCTCGTAGGCTGCAAAATGCAAGGGGCCACGTCGCCATACCTGAGCCTTTCGCTCTAAGGTGGCCGACGGGGGCACCTGCTAATGTTTTACTTTGAATTTCCAGAGAAAAAATCAGAACATGATTTTATTCATAAGTGGCTCGAGGCCGAGGGTGGCGTTCAATCAGTAACCCGTTAAGGGGTGAGGGCTTCGCCGTCTACACCTCCTTCGGATTACTGATAAAACTTCACCAGATGGTGTACATTCCATGTTCGTGGTACATTGGACCCATTCGGGCGTTTAAGCTTGTAGGTGCCGGGTTTGACCACGACACTGACGATGTAGGGCCCTTCGTACTTCAATGCTAGCTTGCCACCCTTTGTCGGCTGGCTTGCTTCCCTTCGGCGGAGGACGTAGTCCCCCACCTGAAATTCCCGGGAACGTACCTTGGCGTCATAGTATGATTTTACTTGACGCCGGTAGTTCTCTGCTCGGACGTAAGTTTGCTCACGCCTCTCATCGACCAAGTGCAGGTCAATCTTCATGCTTTCCTCATTGGCGTCAGGCTCGTATTGTTCCACCCGTCGGCTGGGGATGGCAACTTCCGTGGGCGCCTTTGCCTCGAAGCCGTAGCATAGGGCGAAAGGCGTTTCACCTGTCGCCCTCCTTGGCGTGGTTCTGTAGCACCACAGGATGTTGGGGAGCTCGTCGACCCAACTACCTCCTGCAGCTTGGAGTTTCTTCTTCAGCCCCTCCATAATTGTTCTGTTGGCGTTCTCGACCTTCCCGTTGCCCTGAGGGTAGGCAACGGAGGAGAAACGATGCTTTACCCCAAACTCCCGAAGGAGTTCTTGGAAAGGGGCTGCCTCGAATTGGGTGCCGTTGTCTGATATGATCTCCTGGGGGACGCCAAAGCGTGTGATGATGTTCTTGTAAACAAATTTCTGGCATCTGGCCCCCGTGATGCTGGCCAAGGGCTCCGCCTCGACCCACTTGGTGAAGTAGTCGACGGCGACGATGATGTAGCGGTTATTCCCGGTGGCTCTGGGCAGGGGGCCGACCAGGTCAATCCCCCATCTGGAGAATGGAATTGCGGTGCTGACAGGGGCATAGTTGACAGCTGGCCGACCAGGGGCCTTCTGGAGTACCTGGCATGTGGTGCACTTCCTGGCCAGGTCAGCGCAGTCGCGTGCCATTGTCGGCCAGAAGAAGCCCTGGACGACGAGACGCCGGGACATGCTGAAAGGGCCCTGGTGTGAGGAGCAGACGCCACAATGAACTTCTTCCATGGCTGTGTCGGCCTCGTCCTGGTGCAGGCATCGGAGGAGAGTGCCATTATAGGACCGTTTGTAGAGTTTGCCATCTTCGATGGTGTAGCTTGGGGCCCTGAGTTTGGCAAGTTTGGCCCTCTCCTCGTCCGGGGGCAGCTCCCCCGTTGTGATGAAGGTGGCGATGTCGGAGATCCAGTCCTCTGGTCGCTGTTGGACGCACAAGACGGGGCTGGCATGGATGCTGGACATGCTCAACTCCTCGATCTTGGCCAATTGGGAGATGTGCTCCGGGGTGTCCGAGCTGAGCTTGGAGAGGATGTCGGCTTCGGCGTTCTCGGCCCTGGGGATCTGAGTGATCTCGTCGGTTTCAAACGCTTTCAGCAACTCCTCCGCCGCTTGTTTATACTGCTTCATCCGGCCTTCCTTTGCTTCGTACGATCCTTCCACCTGGCCCACCACCAGTTTGGAGTCGCACTTGATTTTGAGGTGCTTGGCCTTGAGGCCGGCCGCGAGTCTGAGACCGCTGAGGAGGGCCTCATACTCGGCTTCGTTGTTGGATACCCTGAAGTTGAAGCGGATGGCATAGTAAGCTCTGAATCCTTCGGGGGATATGAGGATGACACCGCCGCCGCATGATTTCGCGGCCGACGAGCCGTCAGTGAACAGGGTCCATGTATCGTCTTGCTCCGGCCCGGGTTTGGCGACGGCCGTCTCCCTTGCTGTGCATTCGATGACGAAGTCGGCCAAGGCTTGCCCTTTGATGGATGGCCTTGGCTTGATCTCAATTTGGAACTGGCTGAGGAAGATCGCCCATTTCACCATCCTTGAGGAGCTGGTGGGGCTCCTCATGAGTGCGCCGAGAGGCTGCTGGGTCAGCACATGGACGGTGTGGGCCTGGAAATAGTGCCCCAGCTTCTTCACCGTGTGGACGATGGCCAGCACCGTCTTCTCAATGGGGGAGTACCTGAGCTCGGCCTCCCTGAGTGTCTTGCTGATGTAGAAGATGGCCCTCTGCACCCCTTCGTCCTCACGGATGAGCACGGAGCTAATGGCCGACGTGCTCACCCCTAAGTACAAGAAGAGGGTTTCGCCGGCTCTGGGCTTGGAGAGCACGGGTGGGGACGACAAGTACCTTTTCAATTCGTCAAATGCCTCCTGGCACTCCGTCGTCCACTTGAAGCTGTTGGCTTTCCGCATGATCTGAAAGAAGGGGAGTGCCCTCTCGGCTGACCTGGAGAGGAACCGTTTTAAGGCCGCCAGGCGCCCCGTCAGTCGCTGTACCTCCTTGACGTTGCGGGGCGGCTCCATGTTGATGATAGCCTGCGTCTTCTCCGGGTTTATCTCGATGCCTCTCCGGCTGACCATGTAGCCGAGGAACTTGCCGCCCTGGACGCCGAAGGCGCACTTCTTGGGGTTGAGCCGGAGCCTGAACTCCTTCGTGATTACAAAGATTTCCCGGAGGTCGTCGGCGTGGGAGGAAGCCTGCCTGCTCTTGACGATCATGTCATCGACGTACGCCTCCATCGTCCGGCCAAGGACCGCTCTGAAGATCTTGGCCACCATCCTAGTGTAGGTGGCGCCGGAGTTTTTGAGTCCGAAGGCCATGACGAGGTAGCAAAAGATTCCCTCTGGGGTCATGAATGCCGTCTTCTCAGCGTCATCTTCATGCATGGAGATTTGGTGGTACCCTCTGAAAGCATCGAGGAACGACATCAACTCGCACCCCGCCGTCCCGTCCACCAGCTGATCAATGTTGGGGAGAGGGAACGGGTCCATGGGGCACGCCTTGTTCAGGTCAGTGTAATCAACACACATCCTGAATGTCGGCGGTTTCTGGGCGAGGACGACGTTGGCCAACCACGTCGGGTACTTCACCTCTTTAATGTGTCTGATTGAGAGGAGCATGGCGACCTCCCCTTTTACGAAGTCCCGCCTGTCGGCGGACAGGTA